TCTATCTCTCTATCTCTCTATCTCTCTATCTCTCTATCTCTCTATTTGCAGCAAATGAATGTTGGTTTACCACTTATCCGAAGGAACTTTATTCAGTTTTTACATTGTGTTTATTTTCCTACAAACAAGCCTCAAACCTATGTAACGACATGTGTAACGTTTCTTCTGTTCCTCGGGAATAATGGCTTACATCAGCAGTAAAGTACTGGAAACCTGATCAAAGTGTCGTAGTCCGCATATTTTTTTAGATTGGGGTTGCCTCGGGTAATAATAATGATTGTGCTAAAGGTCTCTTCTTTAGATGGACGTAGAATTAAGATCTCAACTGTTCAGTGTTAATTCTTCGTTGTCATGGAACTAGCGAAAAGGAAGAAAGAGAACCTGGACAGCTAAAATTTGATTTGTATTAGTCAAAAATGTAAACCTTTGCCATCTCCCCATCTCCCGGTCAGAGCGGCATTTAGATCTGCTTTTGTAAACGCTTTGTTTCCTTATTGAAAGCATTGTGGTCTCACCGCAGAATGCCATTCTTTCACAAATTCTTATTTTACTTTTAACCTAGTGCTATTTCCTCCAATTAAAACTTTAAAGAATGCAATGTTTTATTTTATCGTATTTCTTTCCGCAGGAAACTGCCAAGAAAGGGAAAGCGAAAACGGTAAGATGTGTTACCGCGATGCAGACTGTTATTAATTGCGATATTGCTTATGTAATGTTTAATATGTGTGCTTTGGCCGTCTTTCAGTAATGAAATCTCTGAGGACTAGTCCTCATCAAATGTTGGTACCATGCCCAAATATCACGCGCATGATTTACGATTTCGCCAAGTCTTATCGGATGCGCTCTCATTATAATCTACATTGTAGTTTTTAACCCATCTACTTGAACTAAGAAGTGAAGTGTTCCCTACGATCTGTCTGGTATGTCTTCGTCGACCAGAGGCACTCGGCAGCCAGTGACAGGCCTTTGAAATGTCCACCCCTGCTCTTGAAGCAGATCAAAGCAACCGATGTTGACTTGTCTCGTGTACCTTTGTGTTTGAATGGTTCGTTTTAAGTTAGCCTCACAGTGCGAGCTAATCTTGAAACGAATAATCTTTGAAAGGATGTCGGTGTGGCCATCTGGGATGCGGGTGGTTGGAGGGTGCCATCGGCAGGTCCCACTTTCCTTCTCTGTTGTGTTTGTCTGTCTTTCCTCAGCACTAAAATAAAGACCATTGTTTCGATGTGCTTCTTTTTACTAAAACCATCTGGCATGTCACTCACTGACACATGTAGTATGCTTCTTCCAGTTTGTGATTTGGTCATCTGTTCGTTATCATGTGACTTTGACGTCGAAATTCTAGGCTTTTCTGTCCTAAATACAAGTGTGTTTTTGTGGTTTTGTGTTTATGTGTCTTTGTTAGTGTCTTTGTGTGAGTGTCTTTGTTAGTGTCTTTGTGTGAGTGTCTTTGTTAGTGTCTTTGTGTGAGTGTCTTTGTTAGTGTCTTTGTGTGAGTGTCTTTGTTTGAGTGTCTTTGTGTGAGTGTCTTTGTGCGTTTTTGTCTTTGTGTCTTTGTGTGGTGTGCTTCGTGTGTGGGGTGTGTGTGCTGTAGGGAACCTTTCGGGATTTTTAAAGTATATTTTTAACTGTATTTGTATGTACTTCATTAGGCAATTTTGAACCTCCAAATGTATACATTAGTGTATTATTTTGTTTAAAAGAGCTCTTATCTGAACGCATACATTAACTTGCTCCCATGCTTGTTTTCCTTTGATCACTGTTAGCCTTTGGTGTACCTTCTTTTTTCCTCAGCCTGTCGAGCAACCAAAGAGAGGAAAGAAAGCCAAGAAGTGAGATTGTGTTCAATTTATTGCATTCTGCTTTAATGAAATTGTTCATTTTCCAAAAAATAAATTATATATTGCAATTAACACACGCTTTACTTGTTCAATATACTTTGACTGAAGAAGCAGTGTTCTCGGGTCTAAACAGTTCTGTTGACTCGTAGTTGACGGTTTTTCCCATCTTTTGTGGAAAGAGGGGACAGGGGGAGGGAGGGAGACCAAACGGTCACTTTTAAAATTAAAGATATTGATCGGGTATGATCAGTTAGCTTAGGCTGTATTTGTAGCCCTTAAAACAAGGTAGGTACCCAGCAAATTTGTACAAAATAAGGTAAAGCTTTTTTTGAACAGAATGTCCAAGCCAGTGACGACTTGTACAACTTATCAGTGGGAATCGTACCTTAGCCCTCAAGACAAAGGACTTTTTCTGTGAAGTACGTTACCTTGAACTTCTGTCTTGAAAATCGACGACTGAAATTGTGCCAAAGCTTTTTTTGAAATAGTACACTAGGATGTTTGATTAAACTGCAGCTCGTCAGAGTGGGTGGTTGGTGGGTGCTCTGGTGTGGTTTACTCCTTGTTTCCTATCAAACGTCTATCGTCCTTATCTACCGTCCCTCTATTTTGTTTTTGTTACTCTCATGTAACACCTAATCTTCGGCACTTTTTGACCTTGTGTTGTGCCTTTAAACTCTTTAGTAAAACAATAAAACAAGCCTGTCAGATGGTATCAAATGATTCCGCTTTATGATCACATTACTTTACTAGTTGTGCAGTAATCCTGATCCCGCCCACAAGCCGCATATGACGTGATTGAAACTGAGTCTTGACATCTCCATAGACAAGAGTGGGTGGGCGCTATGTGGGTGACCTGAGATCGTTTTTAGTTTTAGTAAGTTATGGCATTTGCAACACAATGTCATTAGTGCCGAAGATTAGGGGTATTGCCCAAGAGTTAAAAACACCAAAAGTGAGATCAGGGTGATAAATGGTTGACAGAAAAGGAGCAAACCACACCAGAGCACTTGCGACCTGAAATCCATCCTCTGATGGTTAAAAGTGGCAGATGGGATTTCGATGTGCGTGTGTGTGGTGGGGAGGGGGTAAGATGGTGTTCGTGGTACGCAAGTAGTCTAACCTTGAGCCATACCTGAGCTTTCTTTTAAACGCACACGCATTGGTCACAACTATGGATATCGCCACTTTGTCTGGTTAGTTTTACGCAGTTGATACAGAATGCAGAAATGTTTTTAAACTCATTTGCCACAGACAAAAGGCTGTCTGTGGGTTTCTCTGATGTACCGTCCCCCCTCCCTGGGAAAAAAAGAAAGAAAAACAAAATAAAATAAATTAGATATTAAAAACCGGGGACTCAAAGGATTTTTTGGTCGAATAAAAATCCAATGGCTTCTTGAGCAAAATGCCTCCACACATACCAACCTTCTCAATGAGTTGGTTGCATTCGATGACTTTTACAACTTGTAGATGGATGATGAAATCTAGATGGGTCTGTTGAACATTACAAAAGCCTTTGTTTCTGCATAGTTCAAGTTCAATGAATTGCGAGGTTTTTTTATCTTGACCACCGATACATAATTTTCATAACAACGCAGAATTTTAAACAGTGAAACCAGTGAACTCTTGAAATGTGGCAGGGTGTAGTAAAAATCTAAAGGGCCCAAGCGGCCCCTTCTCTCTTTTCTAACGTATTGTTTCTTGAATTAAAGAAATAATCAGTTGAAACCATTAAAACTTTTCTTTAGCATCATCCACCCCCATTTGTACGCAGTTGACACACATTTACTCGTATCTCTGATCGTTTTTCCTGCTAAAGGTGTAGAGTAGTCAGATTTCTGGAGCTAGCCCCAAGCCTCTCCACTCCCCTTTTGCGGAGAGCAAGGGGAGAGGAAAGTCGGCGACAGAGTGAAGGCCTCTCCCCTCCCCCGACGTCCCCTATTAAGAGGTGACATCTTCACTCTTTTGAATCAGTCAGTGTTCGTGATTATTAGAATATTACCGTAAATTTTCTTAACGTAAACATATTTTCGAGGCTGGCCTAGCCCTGTGTATGCAAGACGGACGAAGAAATATTTCAGTTTCAGTGGATGGTTTTATATTGGTTGAGAAAATGAAGGCTGAACAGGCGCTGTTACTGGGTTCACAAAATATACCAGCATCGTAGTAAATATGGTGAATATTATCATCATTTAACGGAGCAAGCCCTTTTTATCGTATGCAAGTGAGTACACACACCGAGTGAGGGTTTTTGGTGAATAAAGGTGCGAGAAGTTTTAGTCGTTCGTTAAAATTCCGTCACCAACCTTTTGGGGGGCTTGGAGGAAAGTCACTTTAAAAAGGGGAGGTGAGAGGTTGGTGACTCTACTCTGTCGCTCGCAAAGCTTTTCTTGTAAATTAAACCTGCCGCTCCCAAAATTGGGGCCAGGTGGGAAAAAGGTGTGGAGAAGGTGACTCCAATCTGTCGGCACGTTAAGAACGATTGCATACTAGCAACCAATCAAATGACGTCTTCAGGGTGCAGCAAAGGATGATCTCAATTCCCACTGTCCTTTCTTTATAAAACTCGTCTAAGGTAAGATTTTATAAGAGCTTGCGAAAGCTGTAGTACAAGAGACCAGGACCCATAATCTAAACTCTGACAGTGACATTTGGTAAAAGTTTGACACACTTTTCCCACATACCCAGGGTTAAGTCCAGAGCGTCCTTCGACGAACTTCTGCGCATATTGGCATTGTTGCCCTAGCCTAGCCCAGCTGATCTTTTGTCCCTCCCCTGTACAAGTAACTGGCTTCAAGGACAGTTGTTACCAATCAAATTATTTCCAAGAAAGTTACATACCTAATATTGGAAATAGCAACCTGTAGGAGAAAATGTAGGGGCATGCCCCCCTGAAACCGTGCAGATTATTCCACAGCGTGGAAAATTACGAAGCAATGAGGCTTAGCGTAATCTAGTTTTAATAATTTTGTCGCGATAAATTGCCTTGGTAACAAACGGGGGAGGGATTTATCAAAGAGACCAAAAAATATCCAAAATTTGAAAATATTGCGCACAAAGTAAACAAAGAGGTGTCCCTTGATATGCATATGAAATGGAGGCGTTCAATTTGCTACATACTTCAACATAAGTAAAGGACCACCTTGACAGATAGAATCTAGCCAAATCAGAAAAAAACCAGTGAGGAATATTTCAAAATTTTTGCTCTGAAAGTGTTAATGGGATACCAATGTGTACGTCAAAACTTCCTGAAGGGGCAAAATCACCACGTGCAGCACGGAAATCCTCGGGGAATTTAGCCAAATGTTATGCTTTTTATCGACTTGTGTGCGACACCACAGACTTTCCTCTGTTAAAACTTCTGGTGCACGTCATAAAAGGACGTACAGACGGTCTCGAGCTGTGCTCACTTTGGTGGCAATATAAGCCGCCGTTTGCTCAAAATCCAATATCGCTTCAACATGCTACCAAGACGAAAGCTGAGAGACTTTGATCGTGCCAGAGCTATGGCATGGCTGCAAAATGGGGTTGGAGCCCGAGAAGTTGCCAGAAGGCTTGCAGAGTCAAACTCTGTCATTGTCCGCCTGAGGCAGCGCCATCATGCCACTCGATCAGTCCAAGAACACCCACGTGCAGGTCGACCCAAGAAGACCACTCAGAGTGTTTGCAAGTGGTCCTTAACTTATGTTGAAGTCTGTATTAGGGCGGGGACAGAGAGGCCACCGAATATGTTTCGACGTATCACTATCACTATCATTGACATATTTGTTCGGCGCCGATCTTTCCGTGAGTAGAACATAGGACACATATTTTCAGCGCGTGTAAGATGTTCCTCTGAACTAGATCTAGATTTGACCAGTTAGGCTTTTACTTTAAGCGTCATGTTGTGAACGACTATCGTATTGTAAATTCCAACATGCTTTCTTCAAAAATTAAATAAGAAACGAAATGGCATGCACATGCTACTACTTACTTTAATTTTTGTTTTAACCTTAATGTAGATTTGCTTAAAATGTATCTCTTTAATCTCATACGGGAGACCGTTTGCATACAACGGAAACCAAGGCATTTTTCACTGTAAAATTAACAAAATATGTGAACAACTGTGTTTCTTGAACATACACGCACGTACGCACGCACTCACGCACACGCACACGCACACACACACACACACACACACACACACACACACACACACACACACACACACACACACACACAGAGCACACAACACACTGAGCACACTTCTTAACTCAATAACTACAGTCTGTGAATTTAAAAAAAAACATTATTACTGATTTTTAAAAATACTTCACAAATTCAAATTCTCCTTTGTGGGCCTGTCCTGTAGAATTTGGATCGCTAATTTCAAATATCTAATCAGATTTTGTCTACGACCTTTTCTTGTTGAGATAATGGTCAGTTGAAAAAGTCCCCAGTCCAGCCCTATGACGTCACACATCCGGTGACGGGCCTCTGACGGGGCACTCCTTCGCACCAAGCAGCGGATTTCTGTGAGTAGGAATACAAATTTAATTCCTATCAAATAAGCCGCCGCCGATCCCGCCGATCGGCGAAGAGAGTAGGCCGTGTCTCTGTGCACTTGTAGAAATTGTATAGATGGATTCCTATAACCTACGGCGCTTAATGGTAGGTGACAGAAATCGGCTGCCTTTGTGTTCTCCCACTCAGCCTACCAGACCTAGTAACCGAGATGCTCATTGATCCCATGAGGAAAGCCTTACTTTCTACACGCACACATACACCCTTATACTCTCGCACAAAAGGATGCTTTCCTCTGAAAAGACAACATCCTACCTTTGAACTCGACTTACTATCATCTCTGAGCCCCACCCAAATTTTGATCCATCAACCGCCTGTGGCTCGGAGGATTCTCCTGTATAGTGTTGTAATTCATACATTTCTACAGCAGCCGTAAAAATTAATGAACCACAACACACTGACTAGGCGCAAAACACGAGTAGACCGATGTGCCTAGTAAAATGTATCTGACGTATATATATATTATATTTAAATATTTTTAAAAAATTGCGTCCTATCATAAAAATATC